TATATTGGGCAGACAGGCCGCTCCGTGGACACGAGGTTGAAGGAGCATCAGCGGCACATCCGTCTCGAACATCCGGACAAGTCGGCCGTAGCTGAACACAGCATCGAACTGGGACACCGCATTCAGCTTCAGAATACCTCCATCCTCGCCACCAAGACGCGCTATATGGATCGCATCATTAGGGAAGCCATTGAGATCGAACTGCATCCAGGGAATATGAACAGAGAGGATGGGTTTCGTCTCAGCAAGTCTTGGAAACCTCTTATCTGTTCTCTTAAAAAACCCCCCACCGGGATATGACGCCAGATCCAGGAAGCCACAAGGCCATGACCAACCAATATAATAACCCCCCCCCAGCTCACAGTTAAAGCCCAGCCAGTTAACCTTGCTAAACTCTCCCCTACACAAAATCTCGCTTGTCCCGGCTCCCTTCCCCCACCCCTCCCACACCACTGCTTTCACTTGTTTTTGCAGTTCACCCCCTTCCCTCTCTGCTCTAACGGTATATCCTCAGTCTGCTTTACCGTGTCCTACGGTGTTGTCGCTTGCAGATTTACTTATACTTTTTCTTCAACCCTGAAGATGGGGGCGATACGTTCCTCCGAAACGTCGGTTAACACCACATATACACGGTGCCAAATCCCAGAAGACTGCTTTCTTCTTTATTTTCTCATTGTTTTGGGTATACAAATAAATTGTTCCTGGTATATTTATAATTATCAGAGCCAGAAATAAACAAAGTAAATGAGGCATGTCTAACATGCCCTTCCATCAAGGGAGGTGGAAATGTAAATATGTATATTGAGCAATATTTTATTCTGTTATAAGGCACAGAAGTGTTATAACATTCATGTGCAGTTTATATTTTGAGGTTATAATCTACATGGTTAAAGAGACAAGTTACCTGTCCTATTTACTGAAGTATCATGATCATCACCACCATCAACATCAAGGTCTAGCCCTTTCAGTCTGTTATTTTCCTAGACCTAACTGTCTGTTACATTTCTCTGTAAGATAGGTTGATCCTTCCAGCATAACTTTGGTGTCCAGTGGATCTTGTTTGTCTAGGTACACAGTCCATTATCTGTTTTGGAATGCACTGGCTGGTTTCATAATTTCAGCATGTTGAATCCAGTTCTGTTATTTTGAATTCTGTCATTTAACCTTGAATATATTTAATTTGTTTCTAATTGTTATGTTTCCTTTAATGTGTATCCCATAACATTTGTAAGAAATCTCATTTGTGTAATTTCTGTCTTTTGCCTCTTGTCTTTTTGTCAGTCTCTATGTTTCAGAACTGTGTGTTATGTTGGGATAGCCATAGTTTTGTAAAGTTCAGTGTTTTCTTCATTGTCTTTTTATTCATTACTTTCCTTATCATCCAACATATGAGGTTAAATTTACTGAGCTTTGTTTCAAAAATTTATTCTCAAAAATTGAAATAGTACATCTTGAGTAATTAGAATATAACAGATTTTGATCTTACAAGGTGTTTCCTTCTAAAATCTGTTACTTTAGTTTTCTGTATTGATATAGTTAAATTATATTCCTCGAATATTTTAACTAATGTATATTCAGCTGTTTATAGGTTTTCTTCATTTTCTGTTATTACCGAAACAAAAAGTGTAATTTCACATAAATATTCCGAAAGTAAATTGTCTATTATGTCTGCATTAAAATAAGTGTATAATTTATCATTTGTATGTAGTAGTGCCACAATGATAGTAACAAATTATTTCATACATTTTTGTGTTTCTAGCAAACTGACGGCAACACAAGTCTGTAGTTTCAAAAATATTTTTATTGTGTCTGAGACTGCCAAACTCTTTTTTTATGTTAACAAAATATTTATGGATATCCACTGTAGAATTTTTTGTTGTTGTTGGTAGTATTGCTGTACAAATTTACTTTACTTGAAACATTTTCAAGTGATCAAAATATGTCAGTCTGGTAACAGTATGTTATCAGAAAGAGAAGGTTTTTTTATATTGTTGAGGTGGATTGTCTTAATTTAGTAAATTATGAAAATTAGAACCCCAAATAATGCCATAAACAGAGCGTTTTTTAAGTTGTCGTTAATGTGAGGACAAACATTATGGAGTGTGTTGCCATCTGTGATGTGATGCTATGCTTCTGGAAGATTTTTGCCAACATCGTGGAGGAACCTGCTGATCCATCCATTTAATGTCATTCTTCAACCCTGATGACAGGCTGAGCAGATTCCTCTGAAACATTGGCAACCGTCTGCCAAACTACGTGCCTCTCTCATCCTTATTGTCACTGCTGTGACAACCTCACATGTCACATAGAATTTTTTTCTCTTTTCTTTAAAGTCCTATATAAGGTTGTTCAGTGAACATCCATGGAAACAAAACAAAACAGGTATTGAAACTCAGTGTAGCATTTATAGCAAGGATGAGCCATTAGGCAGCCATCAGGAGCAAAATGTGCATTCATGTTACTGCCATATCTTCCTGATCTTCCTCTATGTGTATGCATGCTCATGTATCCATGCTTGTGTTTGTGTATGCTACTCATAAGTGCATGTGCTCTTTCCCACTTACTGACTCACATTATATGTCAGCCTGTGTGATGGCTGGAAAACAGTACCATCATTCCATTGTTTTCACATTTGACCATCAGTATGTACTTGTGCTGTATGTTTGCTCTGAAATTAGTTATATTGTGACGTGTTGTGCAATGGTAATAGGCAGGTCAACATCCCCCCCCCCCCCTCCCCGCCAGCGGTGACGCGCCGAGCGGAGCCGAAGTTAGCCGAGTCCCAGCATCCTGGTAGGTATGCAACACGAGTCAACAGCGGTGACGTCACCAAGGGAAACCGCGGTTGCTAGGCAGCAGTAAACAACTCCGAACAGCGTTGCTAGCAACACGGCGCCAGGCAACAAGGGTGCCTATTACGTGGCTGTGTTCTGTGTTGTCCGGAACGAGGCTACATAAGGAGCAGCGAAGGCCATTCACAGTTAGTTCCGAGAGAGTTCTGAGCAAGCCTATGAGTTAGTTCTCAAGGCAGCTACCTACGAGTTAGTTAAAGTGTATCAGCGGCCTAAGACGGTTCTCAGTTCGCGAGTTCCGAGTTAGCCAGCAATCAGTCAGTTGTATTCTGGCATTTGCAGTGTAGTATTTGTGATACTGCAGATAGCAGTAATTGTCAGATTGTAATTTGGGTGATTGTAAGTGCGAATGTGAAATAAAATTCGCTATATCAAATGCGGTGTGAAGTTATTTGTCACGTTATACACCCAACACGTGACAATATTGTCATAGATAGTCATGTCATATGATTTTGTGGTCTTGGAATTATTTTGCTAGGAAGAAAGGCTAGATTTGCTGGTGAGAAGCTTTAAAAGAGATAAAGAAACTGTGAGGCCATGATATTAGATGTATGCAAATAGATTTTCCATCTAGGTACTGGGGGAAAATGGTTTTGCCAACTTTCCCTTTAATATTTAATTTTTTTATTGCTCTGGAAGTGTAATATTGTTCCAGATGTTAAGGAATAACTCTTATAAAATTAAGTTAAGGCTGGAATTGAGACTTAAACTTCAAACTCATGAAGTCATTGAAGTTTAGTGTCTTGTATATCAAATTATATGGTGTCACTTCTTCACAGTCACCATCATTGAAGCCTCATATTTTTCATTTTGAATAAATTGGTTATAATATTGACAGAAAGTATGGGGATATACAAGACTGAATGGAATGGAGTTTATACTGGCGGTTAGTAATGAAAACATGACAACTGTAAGCATTAAAATCTTCTCAGGTGATCAGGTATGTTGATGTTGAGTCAAGAACCAACATTTTATTATTGGGTTGTATGCTGGGAATGATCAAAGGTTGCTTGTGTGTATAACAAGTCCATCAGTGTTATGCCTTTTCCTGGCTAGCACATATATTTTTAACTCAATACTGACACAGCTGATCACCTGAGAAAACTTCAGCTTCTTACTCAACATTGAAATAGCTGATCACCTGAGATAATTTTGGTTTTTGACTCAGTACTGACACAGCTGATCACCTGAGAATATTTTAGTGCATATATTTATTATCTGAGAAAATTCTATTTTTTGACTCAACATTGACATAACTGATCACATGAGAACACTTAAGAGCATATATTTGCCTTAAATGCTTCAAATGTGTTACATACATTTTGTTTGTACAGCTGTGACCATGTAAATGAAAGCTTTCCAGAATGGCTCCCCAGTTTTTAGTGTGGAAAAAATCTGTGATTAATTATTTATTTATAGAGAGAGAGCCTTTTATTTAAATATGAAATATTTTCTAAGCACAAAGGCTTTATTT